ATAGCAGCATAACGGTCGTTGGATTTTCAGACGCCAGCGAGAGGGCTTACGGGGGCGTTGTATATTTCCATGTCCAGAATAATGGTAGAAATTCGATTAGCCTCATTAGTTCTAAGTCGAGAGTCTCCCCCCGTAACGTTGTCTCTCTGGCGCGCTTAGAGCTTTGCGCAATATTAGTACTCACCAAGCTTATTACCACAGTTATCGGCGCATGTAGGGATAGAGTTCACATAGAAAGGATATTTGTCTTTTCCGACTCCACCGTCGCCTTATGTTGGGTTCATTCTTCACCCCACCGTTGGGATACGTTTGTCGCGAACCGAGTGGCCAAGATCCAAGACGAGTTAGAAACGCGGAACTTTTATCACGTGTCCGGTAAGGAAAACCCTGCCGATTGTCTATCCCGGGGACTCACCCCGACGCAAATAATGGACCACCCGCTTTGGTTCCATGGACCTTCTTGGGTTCACTTGGATCCCTCACAATGGCCAATAACCGATTTCGAACCTTCGTCAGTGTCACAACCGCCGGAAGAGAGGAGACACGCTCTAGTGGCGAGCGTTTCGAGCGAGGTTTCTCCAATTATTGCTCTGGCGAACCGCTTGTCCTCTTGGTCGAAATTATTGCGTATCGTAATTTACGTTTGTCGATTCGCGAAGCTTTTACCGCGACGTTCGTATATTACGTGAACTTCAACGTGCGCACTTCTCCGAAGAAATTACAAGATTACAATCGAATAGAGCTTGTAGTCGCGCCTTTCAACGCCTTAAGCCATTTTTACAGGATGGGATTGTAAGGGTAGGTGGACGCTTGTCCAACTCGCAATTGAGTTTCGACCAACGGCACCCTATAGTTTTACCGCGTAAAGACCATATCATGAACTTATTAGTCGATTATCATCATAAATTGAACTCGCACGCTTTCACGCGTCAGAATTATTGGATTCTTTCTGCACGTAGTTTAATACGCAATCGGGTGCACAGATGTATAGCTTGCTTTCGGGCACGCCCCAAGCCGTCATTTCCGGAAATGGCGGAACTTAGATCTTGCAGAGTGATACAATCAGTAAAGCCCTTCACGCACACCGGGTCTGATTTTGCTGGTCCGTTTAAGGTCACGATCACTCGCGGGCGCGGTATAAGATCCACAAAGGCTTACGTCTGCATTTTCGTATGTCTAACTACTCGAGCAGTGCATATAGAACTCGTGGGTGATCTAAGCACAGCAGGCTTTATGGGTGCATTTAAAAGATTTCTATCCCGCAGAGGCCCTGTAAGTAAATTATATTCGGATAACGGTACGAACTACGTCGGTGCAAAACGTATTCTATCGGAACTACATGAGCTCTTAGCTAGCAAGTATTATAATTCGGAGTTCGCTCACATTCTAGCCGAGAACCGCATTGAGTGGTCTCTGAACGTCCCAGCCGCGAGTCATTTTGGGGGCAATTGGGAGACTAATATTAAAAGTCTAAAGAGCCACTTATACCGAGTAATAGGAGATCAAATTTTGTCCTTCGAAGAGCTAAGTACGGTGCTCGCTCAAATTGAATGCGTAATGAATAGCCGCCCACTTTGTCGGACGTTATCTAGTGACCCCTCGGAACCGCTGGCTCTAACTCCAGCACATTTTTTGAATTTAACGCCTCTAAGGTATCTGCCCGCCGCGGATATGGATGAGAACAGACTTAGCATTTCCGCACGCCACAAATTATTAGATCGGTTAGTGCAATCGTTTTGGAAACGATGGAGGATGGAATACTTGCATACTTTGCAGTCTCGGCAAAAATGGAACACAGCGACAGAGCCTTTAGCTGTAGGAACGGTAGTTGTGCTCACTAAGGAGAATACGCCGCCTCTCCACTGGCCGTTAGGAATCGTCGAGGAGGTCTTTCCCGGTTCCGACGGAGTAATTAGGATAGCTCGCGTTAAGACCACGGTTGGGTCTTACCTACGTCCTGTTGTCCGTTTGTGCCCCTTGCCTCTTCCATAATTTAAATTAGATTTCTAGATTTAAATTGTAGTTGAATTTAGGTAATCTTAGCGTTAGTTAGTTATTTGTTAGTTGATCTTAGCTCTAGTTGTTTAGTTATTTTTTGAAGGAAATCCTTCAAGGGCGGGGGAGATGGTTGCGCGGAAAACCATTCGCGTTTTATTTTTGACGGTAGGAACTTGCCGAATCATTATTCCCTTTCCCAAACGATATCATTCGTACCCTCCTATCGACACATCGGGGTGATGGGGTGGGAGGGGAAAGAAGACGATTCTAGAACATCGCGTAATCATCGGACCCGAGGATATATAAGACACGCGCGACCGACGCGCGCGCTTCTTCCCGCCGCAGCCGTCGTTGAACTACAACGCTTCTCTCCTGACGCACCCCTGGGGCCCCAGAGTGTCTGTCCAGAGGAGGTTCCGGAAATCGCCGCTATAGTGCTCTAAAGGATAGAAGAACCCCGGTGAGTCAACATTCCTTAATTTACTGCCTGATTAATATTTAATAATTGTTTAACCGCTCCAATTCTGTGTTCTCCCCATCAGGCAGGATTCCTTTCATCGATTTGGCAAGTAATAGTTTTAGTTTAGGGAAGAGCGAGTGCATTGTACCGCATGCTATAGTAGTCGCTTTTACATAAGCATAGAAGCAATCGCAAATACAGTCCACTTTAGTTAATATCTCGCGTAATAGGTTTGAGGTTTGACCGGGGAACTAGATTTTCGGCAGCCTTAAACACGTGGCTCCACCACTGATAATTAAAGCAATTCGTGCAAAATTATTCCCTAACCATTCTAAAATATCAAAAATGCACAACGTTAATATTCAAGTTTTCACTTCTGCCGGCACTCCCGGAGTGCAACCCGTCGTATTTTTTATAACTCGAGACTACAACGCCACCTGTCGGGTTCAGATTTAGTGATTTTCTTTTTTGGCATTTTACTAACATTTTATTGTAATTAAGGGTCATTTTGGTCCATGAATAAAGAAAAGAAATGGTATGTAATGGTGGTAAATGTAATGGTAATGGTAGAGCCATGCTGCAGTTATATTAGTAGTATAGTTGTAGCACGAATGGGTCGGCTCGACCGGGGAAGGACCACGCTCTCACAGAATACCAGCGTGAAATAGTAGCTTAATGCTGCTGTATTTCGTATGGTGAGTGTAGAGAACCGGAGACCCTTTTTACTGGAAACGAGGCATTCCATCTCAGTCCTCACGGGTGACAACGCATCTGCATTTTGATTTTTAATGGAGGATAGATGTAGATGTCTATGGGCCGCAGCAACCACTTACCATCAGGTGGACTGTGTGCTCGTTTGTCACCCTATTCTATAAAAAAAAAAAAAAAGAATTCGGCATTAACTTGACTAGATGGCGCTGCGTTGTGGGTTTCAAGTTGTTGACTAACCAGCTATGAACAATCGCCTCAACAAACCAAATATAATAAGTGAATATGCCCTCAATCGGTCAAGTCTTCTTTCTACTCTCCTAGAAGTTACGCGATCACTAATAGATACATCAACATGATTGACATTGCAGTGAACAAATAAAAATCCAAGAAAGTGTATTCAATGACACGTAACAAGAAGAACAAGGGTTTTGACGAAATTCAAGTAAATAATGTGAGCCATAAGAACAAACAAAAGACATATAAAAACAATAAAGATCCTAATCACTACATCGGGTTTAACCCTAAACCAACGAATTTTAAAAATCTAACTTATCAACTACAAGAGAAAATTCTAGTTTAAGGTAATTACACTCGCTGTTATCTATGTTTATAAGTGGTAGTTATTAGCTTATTAAGCAGTAGTAACTCTTTTCTGTCCAGCGGGCAGCGGAGTTAGCCAAGGTGAAATTCTTAGCTCGTTAACGATATAGAAAACTATAGAATCCGCACGCTATCTGAATGGAAAGGTAGCTTGTGGAAATGGAAATTAACAGTTTGATAGCAAAGTAGGGTTAACAAATAAATTCTAAATATTTTATAATTATTTATTTGTACGATCACTAGTATTTACTACTAAGTAGGTATAATAAAAATACATGAACATTTCAAACTGTAATCCTTCTTTCGGATAATACACACATTGGTGCCGGTGGGGATCGAACCCGGTTTGCTCAAGTACCTACTGTGAAATTTACAGTGAGCACTAACCATCTGAGCTAACACTTTTCCAAATACGATTTTTCAATTTTTTGTTATCTTACAACAATTCGGTAACAGAAATCGCCTTATAACAATATCCTTTCTTTCCCCTTTAGGCTGTTTGCTTAGGTTAAACTTTAGGCTGTTTGGTTAGGTTAAACTTTTGGGCTGTTTGGTTAGGTTAAACTTTTGGGCTGTTTGGTTAGGTTAAACTTTAGGCTGTTTGGTTAAGTGTAACTTTAGGTTGTTTAGATTCCTCTGCCAAAGTCATTGTGTTTAATTCCATTCTTTCATAACAGCCTATCGAAAGTCCACTGCTGGACAAATACCTCTCCCATAGATTGCCTCATATGCCTTTAACCATACTTGCCACGATTAGCCGGTGGTTTGGCACTTGCAGATTTTTTTATTTTTTTACAGTTGTTATCAAGAAAATTTTATCCTCTGTCGTCCGTTTCAAAATTTATTTAATCCATAATTCGTCCTACGAACGTTAATATGTGAATTTTAATACGTGCATACATACGCATACGTTGCATTTGTAATAACTAACTTCTGCAGCAAGCATAGGTCAACGTGATCAGAAGAAGACTACCTTCTTACGCAATACCAGCATAAATAACAACAGGTGTTTTGTATGTGACAAGAACCATGGACTCTTTTTACCAGTAACCAGGCATTCGATCTTAGTCCACTGGGTTGACGAATCTTTTGCATTTTGTTACAATAGTTAGCAATAGACTTTCACTTACCTTCAGATGGACACTTGAGTTACAGTAAAGAAAATAACGTATTTTTTAAAGTAATAATTTGATGTCTTATCTGTCTGACATATCTAAAGTGCGTGTTTAAAATGCTGGGGCGTCATTTTAAAGATTTTTTGCCTCATGTGCAGAGGATGAGCAGAGACGCTGAAGTGAGATACCTCAACGAAGTGAGGAAGTGTATTCGTGATGCCTTCAGATATGTTTGCGAGGACGATACTTTGGTGAGATTTAAATCAGAATTTTATTACTATCATATTATCATTAACAAATCCACTGCTGGACATAAATAAGCCTCTCCTATGGACAAAAAAGCACGACCCCGAGCCACCTGCAACTATCGATTTGCCTGCATGTCTTACCAGGTCATTACTTTCATCTAAAGGTCAACCTACACCGTTTCGAGACTGCCACTTGCGAAACCTTTCTCCCCTATCGGGTGTCGGTTCTTTGCTACATCGTCACCTATTAACCGTTCAGCTTAAATATCTGTTGGATTACTTCAGTTACTTTGCTTCTACTGCACATATTAAATTTTTTAAGTTTATCATGCTGAGAAACTCCATAATCGCTCGCCGAGCGACCTTAAGCTTCTTCATACAGCCAGCTGTGAAGGAGCACGTCTTGGATCCATTAGTAACTTTTTACTTACATTTAACTGTATAAAAATTACATATTTAAGCTACGTAAAGTATGTATTCTCATGGTGGTAAATCATTTTTTTTTTTTTTGGCGAGCTGGACGAAATGCTGTCAGATCTCTCTCAGCCAACCGTCCTTTTACAGTTCTTTCACTTACACTGATATTTCTGACTTCAAACAGACGATTTCGAACCTCAGCCGCTGTATGAAAGCGATCTCGTAAGCTCGTAAAATATTACTGACAATAAAACGATCGTTCCGAGCCGATATACGAGAGTGCGTTTTTAAGTTCGCGAAATGGTAGGTAATGTAGGAGTGGAAATAAAAAGCCAAATTTATTTTTCCTTTTCAATATATTGACCTGCTACCCTAATCATTTTTCTGATCTTTCAATTAACTTATGAATACCCTCAAAAAATGATTTGTCTTTGTCTAAAAAATACGCCAAAACTGCTTCCTTCACTTCATCACTTTAAAAAATTTTCCCACAAAGTTCTATTTTTATGTTTGGAAATAATTAATAATCACTGGGGGCCAATACAGGACTATAATTCTGCAGGGCAGCCATCGCAACATGGCACTTGTGAACAGGCGCGTTGTCGTGCAGAAGAAGGATTCCTTTGGTCAATTTTCCCCTTCTTTTCTCCTTTCTGACTTCCTTCAATTGTTATTTTATTTTTTATTAGCGTAGCAATTTCCGGTTATAGAGACACTTTTTTCATATATTTTTTCACTAATCTTTTGGGTTTGTCTTTTATGTTTTCTTTCTTTAATATAAATTTTTCGACTTTTTGAATAATTTCCGAAGTGGTCACCTCGATTGGCTTTCCTGGACGTGAGTCGTCTTCAAGTGACTCTCTGCTTTGTTTAAAAAGTGTATGCCACTTGTAAACCATAGTTTTACTCGGACAAGAGTCTCCGTAAACGGATGACATCTCTTCCAGTATAGTCTGAACTGATTTTCCGCGCTTGGTAAGGAACTTTATAACGGCACGGAACTCGACTTTCTCCATAATTCACAATTTCTTCCCGATTGACTTGTTTGGTTTTTGATAACTACGATATCAAAAACTAATGATCTGATTAAAATAAAACCCGGTATTTATACTAATAATGAGTTGCTCAATTAGCGCGTAATTCAGCGACGTCCCCACTTATTACCTACCTACCCATTCCGCGAACTTAAAAACGCACTCTCGTACATCAACCAGGTCTTCGTGTGTAACGACCCGTCTCCCGATACCGCCGGATGGCGTCTCGTATCGTTGTATGCGGTACACCAAGTGTTCGTGCCATTCGCCGCTGGCTGAAACCCTCATCAGTCAAAGCCACAGCTCTAGCAGCTCCAGCAGAATACAAAGGCATTTTTAAGCACAACACACTAAAATCTACCTTAAAAAGTTTACTTCAGTAATTTTACCTGATAAGGATAACAATTTTAAGCCTTTTATTTTTAAGCCTTACTACTTAAGGATATACCGATTCCACATTACGATAACTGTAGACTAATCTTTAAAATGGCGTTAAATCAACAAGATGAACAAAACAACGAGTTAGATTTGTCTAATTTGATTCCAAAATGTACCCACTTAACATAACTAGTAATCATGAAATGTATAAATTTACAAAAACAAATGTGTGAGTAGTGCAGTGTGAGTCTGTGAGTGTAGCATCATAATGCTGCTGTGGTGAGAAGTGTAGAGAATCGGTGACCCTTATTACTTGGAAAGTGGCATTTCATCTAGGTCTTGTTAAATATGGTCTGATATAATATAATATACATATATGTATTAAAATTTATTGTATTGCACAGACTTGTCCAGAAATCAAACGTCGATTCTGTGACCACCAGAAAGAGTACCACAGTCCGTGCCATAATCGGAATACGGTAATTTTTTAACATAGTATAGTGTTAGAATAGTATAGTTGCTGTTGAAGCTTAAATTGTCTTATGAAATCTCTATATATAAAAATCAATTACTGTCCGTTGTTATCGCTAAAACGCGAAGACGGCTCGAACGATTGTGATGAAATTTTTTGTGTGCATCTTAGTGGGTCTCTAGATGGTTTATGGAGAATAAATATAGCAATAATATAGAATGATCGCTGTGTAGTGGCGGTCAAGAATATCCACTACCCCATATCTTCCCGTGGGTGTCGTAAAAGGCGACAGAGGGAAACTGGCAGGAGATGGGCAGCAGCATCTTCCTGATAACAGCAATTGTACAACTTAAATATATACCCCCCATGAGCAACGACACAAATAAACTGCCCCCCCGTCCTCGGTTGCTCCGCTAATCCTGGCTACAGTGGCGACCATGGTAACGGCGGGTTGAGGGTGCCGACGTGGGTCACGTACCTAATACTCAGAATCACCAAGCGGTATTCGCCAAAGGTCATAAAGGTTTACGCACCAACCTCGGCACATCCGGATGAGGAGGTGGAGGAAATGTATGAGGATATCTCGAGAGCCATAAGTTCCTACAAAACCCACTATATGATGTTGATGTTGACGTTGACAAGAGAAATCAGTGAGCTGAAGGTATATAAATTTGAAGACAATGGAACCCAAGGGCCAGCAGCTGGCCGACTTCATGGAGAATGAGGTTATGAGGGACTCTTTATGATGAACTATTTTTTCCAGAAGCGGCCCCATAGAAAGTGGACCTGGTCGAGCCTGGATCGTTCGACAAAAATGAGATTGACTTCATTGTGACAACTAGATGCCAACTATTCAGTGATGTCTCAGTGATTGCAAGGCTGAAAACTGGCAGCGATCACCAAATGGTTAGAGGCACACTGAACCTAAAGATTAATTTGGAGAGGTCTCGCCTAATGAAGTCAATGCTCTATCCCCCTCGTGTCCTTATCCAAAGTCCCGAAATGTGTCAGCCCGAGTTATAAAACCGTTTTCCGTGCCTAGAAGACTGCAATGCAGTGGAAGATACAATACAATCTCGTGGAAACTGTCTATGCGGTCGGATCTAAGTTCTGTAAGACCTGCCGCGGAAGAACACAAAAACTCTCCGATCACACTCTTAATCTCATGGCTGTTAGACGGGAAATGAAGCTGCAGTCTTCATCAGATTTGACAGCATACAGGCAATTGAATAGACAGATCTGGACTAACGCAACTTTAATACTGCACTGCTGAACCGATCGAGCGGAACCAGGGCTCCAAAGTCTTTGCCAGAGATCTGTCTGCCAGAAAGAGCCAACTGTCAAAGCTGAAGAGTAAGTGTGGCAGCATCGTTTCCGGGACACCAGTGATTTTGAGTGAGATTGAGAGGTTCGATGGGCAGCTGTCCATATCATCGTTGGAGCTACACGCAGGTGTGAGTAACGATCTAAAAGCAAGTCTTATCCGACACTATTCCGATGATATCCTGAACGTAAGTCTGAGCAAGATTAGAATGGCTCTCCAGCACCTTTAAAACGGAAAGGCCCCAGGTGTGGATGGAGCTCAGCGAGCTATGGAGAGAGCTATGCTCGGGGTTCGTCTGCGCGATAAACTTTGAAATGAGGATATCCGATTGAATCAGAGTGACCGATATAGCCCAACGGAGTTGTAAGCTGAAGTGCCAATGGGCCGGCCACATCGGTCGAAGAGCCATCAACCGATGGAGAAAAAAGGCGTAGTGTGGGGCGACCCCTCACTAGATGGAGTGACGACTTGGTAAGGACATGCAGGAAATCGATAGATGCAGGCATTCCTTGGGAGAAGACATTTTATTCGTTGAGTGACAAAAGTGCTAAAATTTCACCTGATATACACAAATGCCTCGGTGGCGCACATTCTTCAACTTAGGAATTTCTAAGCAACTATCTATTACCAGATTACATTTATAGAAGCTAAACAAGTCTGAGTAAAGTTAAAAGTAAAGCAAAGTTACAGCCTATGTACGTCCCACTGCTGGGCAGAGGCCTCCCCTCATTTCTGAGAGGGTTTTAGGGCAAGGAAGTATCCGCCGCGCTGCCCCAATGTGTGTTGGTGAACTTCACATGTCTTCGAAATATTTATTTTCTTATTCCTTAGACAGGTTTCCTCACGATGTTTTCCTTCACCGCCGAGCACGTGGTAAATCAGCACTTAAAATTGCAATTAACAATTTCATTGGTGCCGGCGGGGATCGAACCCGGGTTCTGTTATATTTACAGCGAGCGTTAGCCATCTGAGCTACCACGGCTCAAACAAAGTCTGAGTGGGCCCCGTCAATCCTGACACAAGCACAAAAGAATAATTGAGATTTATACGTGGTAGAGCCACGCTGTAGCTATATTGGAGTTGTAGCACGAATGGGTCGGCTTGACCGGGGGAGGAACACGCTCTTACAGAATACCTTACTACTGCTACCCACCTTAATACTGCTGTATTTCGTATGATGAGTGAAAGATCCGGAAACCCTTTTTTTATTGGAAACGGGGCATTCCATCTTAGTCTTCAGGGGTAACAACGCATCTGCATTTTAATTCTTAATCGAGTGTAAATGTAAATGTCTATGGGCCACAGCATCTACTTACCATCAGGTGCACTGTGTGCTCGTTTGTCACCCTCATTCTATAAAAAATAAATATCCATTACC